GCAATTTGGTGCTTTATATATATATATAAAATAAAAAAAACTATAATTTCTTCTTTTTTTTTTTAAACACCTTGAATTTCAGGGGGGGCGCGGGGCTCCGTTGGCGGGGCGCAGCGCCCCTCCAAGACAATGGTAGGGGAAACACTGCTACCCCCCAACCTCTCTCATCAACTGCCTCCAGGACATCAGGAGCTGGATGAGCAGGAACTTCCTAAAACTCAACGGCAGCAAAACCGAAGCCCTGCTGGTTGGCACCAAAACTACCCTCTCCAAAGCCTCATCCTCCCCTGCCTCCAACCTCATCATTGATGGATACTCCCTTCTCTGGCCAAGTTAAGAGCCTTGGTGTTATCGTGGACAGCTCCCTCTCATTTTCACCTCACATAAATAACATCACCCGGACTGCCTTCTTCCACATACGCAACATCTCCAGACTCCGCCCATCCCTTTCTCAATCAAACACTCAAGTCCTGGTCAATGCATTTGTCACGTCCCGCATCGACTACTGTAACGCCATCCTCTCAGGCATACCCACCAAGCTCATCAATAAACTACAAATCATACAGAACTCTGCAGCCCGGATCATCACCGGCACCAAGGCCTCAGAACACATCACCCCCAACCTCATCCAACTCCACTGGCTCCCGGTTCAATCCCGTATCAACTTCAAAAACCTAATGCTCACTTACAAAGCCCTACATAACCTGCCCCCCCCTATCTGGCTGACCTTCTTCAGGAGTACACCCCCTCTCGCTCCCTCCGCTCCTCCTCTGCTGGTCTGCTAACCGTCCCCACCCCACGCCTCGTCACCATGGGTGCTCGGGCTTTTAGCTGCACTGCTCCCAGACTCTGGAACTCCCTCCCCCTGCACATCCGACAGTCTGACACAATCACCATATTCAAATCCCAATTAAAAACCCACCTGTTCAAATCTGCCTACTCACTGTAGTGCTCCCTATTATATGTTTCATTTGTGTCCACTTGATTGTCTCCTCCATGATTTCCGGTTTGTGTTTTTATCATGTTCTGTGGCCTATTAGCGTTTTCTTTTCTTTTTTAACAAATCGTACGGTGCCCTTGGGTGTCATGAAAGGCGCCTAAAAATAAAATGTATTATTATTATTATTTATTTTTGTAAATCTCCAATGTTGTTTCTATTATTCTCTATGGTGGCCAACAAGTGCAAACACGCTTCATCGGCCGGAAACATTTCCGTTGAAAGAAACCATCGCAGCCTAATAAGGCAAATGAAGAAACATGTTTACCACTTGATATAACTGCAAAACGCTGCAAATAAAAAACTCAACACACAATGGAAACAGGGACACTAAAATTGGATCACACAGCTGGGATCAAATAGCTTGTTGACGTTTGGGCATTATAAAGTTGGCCAACTGTCACTGCCGGCACTCTTAGCTGGTTTCATAATATACGTCTATCGTCAGTATATTTGAAAGGACTTGGTTAGCTATCATAGCTAGCTAGCTTACAGCAGATCTGCAATAATACCTGAAGGAATCATGCGATCACATTGTTAAAATAAGCCAATACAACTTACATTTTAGGTACGTTTCCAGTCGCAGCGACAGGTCGATTTTATATTCCCAAAACATCAAGCACTCCGGTTCCAGCTGTGTGCATCACTTTTTGATGTCCCCATTTCTGTTGTGTTTTGAGCTTCTTGCAGCGACTTTTATTTGCAGCGTATTGTATTTACAGCATTTGGTTTATGCAGCGCTTTCAGTAAACCCTGCGCATGTGTTGTCAAGTTGGTGAAGATGTTTCTTCATTTGAATGTGTTTTGGCACATTTTTGTTTCCGTTCGCATCGTTCTTGAAACTGTAGCGTCTAATGGAGATGTTTTTGACCGTGGTAGCGCGTTTGCACCTGTCAGCCACCGTACTCCTCAGATATAAATCATACAACATGAAGAAGTCCTAGCTTATCCCTATACTAAATGGATTTATGCAATGTAAAATTGTAATACTATAAACTGTATTTCATCTGGGTCTGTCAATTAGGTTTTGATTGGACATTTCCTTTTATGGGCATGTCCATTTTTGTATCGTGTGGCCCTGTTTATTTTTACTGTGTGTGTGTGTGTGTGTGTGGGTGTCAGAGAGAGGTGACATTGTCCCTGGCAGAAATATGTTCCAGGTCTGGGGCTCAGGTGGCTCTGGGTTGTCTCTGATCAGAGCTGACACACACACACGAATAGTAACACACTCTCCCTGTCTCTTTCTTGATTTAGCTCAATCTTGCTCTGATTTGTAATCCTCTCCACACACACATACACACACCGCCCTGTACACAGAGCTGTGCTGTAAGCCCTATCAATCTTTTTGAACACTGCGGCCCAGCATCCTTTGCTCTCTCACACCTGATGCAGAGTGCTGAATAAAGACATCTCACCGGGTGGAGGATGCTTTAATTCCTCGCTGCTCCTCTTGAGTGTACAGTGTGTGCTTTTCACTTGAATAGATCACCTCATGAAAAGGATCCTGCTTGGTATACTGCTTCAAAGCATGGCGAATTTGATACAAGCTGTTGATACACAGCTGAAAGAATGAGGACAAACTGATTGAACTGCTGTGATAAAAAATTGAATCTGGCCGGGTATTTAGAAAATTGTCCGGAATGTTTTTTGTTGGTTTAGAAAATCATTTTCTGAAGGAGGGATTGGCCTTGTTATTATAAGACTATAACACTTTCTGCGATCTGGTTTCTAACACTGGGATTTAATTGCCAGCAATAATTCAAACCGTTGCATCGTCTTTTGACAGTTAACATTGCCTCGCCTCAGGGAGGAGGATTGTGCAGGTCGTGCTTCAGGCAGCTTTGATCAGACTGCATGTATCACAGCACAGACTATGAGTATGAATCATTTTCACCAGGCTTGTAGGAGCCAAAAGGTCAACGTGCAAACAGCTATCCATTCTGCTGGATTACTTGTTTTTCACACAAGCAGTTCCAGTTTGGCTTTCTTTATAGAGTAATAATGTACCTTTATTGCATCTAAAGGAGAATTCTTTTTTCAATCGATATACTGTACACTCTTTATACACAATTTGTTGTCAGCTTAACCCAATGTCGACTAGTAGACCTTTGCAGGGTTGTAGCTACCTATGAGGAAACGTATTCACTACCTCCGTGTTTGAAGATATTTTAACAACCTAAAGAGGAGTTTACATCATGCAGGTGGCAGGTTTTGGATACTGGTCCTGATACTGTTTTGGACTATTTGAAGACTACAAATAATGATCTGTTTTAAGACATATTTATGTCTAATATCGATTTTCCACAACGTGTGACCTTATCAAATGTTTTTAAAATGACATCTACTTATTCTCTCTCACCAAGAAATCCAAATTCTACCAATATCCTAATAGAAAATCTCTCCTCCTTTAGCAGATACATGTGAAAATATAAAGTGTTAAGTGTTCTGAAGTGATAATAATCCAAACATGTTTTTGAAGGAGGGGGACTTTAAATTGGACTCCTTTTAGGCAAAATCTTTAAAATATATTGAAATACTGTCAGGGATTCAGGCTTTATCTACCAGGATTAAATGCAGGGATATGGAGATCCATTTAATCAGAAACATTTGAGAATATTTTGATTTTTTCAGGCTGATTACATTTGTTTGTGTTGATTTCCCATGCATTTATTTAATGTTATGGTTGAACAGTATTTCTTAAATCCTGCCCATGATAGCAGCGCAACTAATTGGACGTAATCCAACGTCATTTCCAGAACCTAATCTATAGAAGAAAGTCTGATAAAATGATCTGCCTTTTTTATTAACAATGCTTTTGTTTTGTTTTTGTGTTTTTATGAAGCAAGATCTACTATTTTTGTATCTTCTGTGTTGGTAGGATGTTGTTATCTGTTCACTGACTGACTCTAGTTTCCCCCCTTTATCTCAGCTGCTGAGTTAGTGCAATGGGATTTCCCAATTACATGAGGATAATCACAGGTCATGATGAGGGATGAAATACATATCTTAAAGGAAGGTGGAAAGGCATCTTTCCCCGGGCTCGACTTTTCCTGGTGTTTGCCGACTGCTTTCGGCTGGAAAAGTTGTGTCTGTGCCTCGCCGTTTGATCACCAAGAAAAATCCTCCTTATGTCAAACTTCCTCCGACTCCCGACTTCAAAAAACACCCCAAATCAAAGAGCATCACGGAGCGAGAAAAATACTCGCCTCGCACAACCCTCAAAATAGCATAAAGAGAAATATGTATCAAAATATCATATTTTTTCCTCCAATGAACAAGTCCAAAAGAACAAGAAGGGAAGAAGTAGGGGGGGGGGGGGGGGGGGGGGAGCAGATAAAATCACCTCCACAGTGTGTATGCTGCAGGTAGGAGATACATTAACTGTGAATTCTGTATTGTAGCAAACCCAAACCTTCCAAAGCAGGGCACAAGCGTCCTTGGATGACCCCAATTCTCTCTTTTTTTTTTTCTTCCTTGATTTGATGTTATCATTGCCGACTCAGAATGAGGCTAGCCTAATATTTGTGTAGGTCCTTACTCAATAGCAATTTCATCCTTGAGCTGGGGATTGAGGCGCAATAATAATACACCTCATTGTGTACGCTGGTCTCAATGGGTGCTTTGTTGCGCCGGGACAATGCTGTTAGTTGGCCAATGTGTTTTCAAGGGCACAGTGGTGATGATGATGTCCGAGGCGCACGCTTTTTTTTTTTTTATGAGGATCTTTGGAAAATGCCACGGATGACTTTATAATGAAGGGTGTCTGGGTTCCATTGTTATGATCATCCGAGGTTACACAAGGCTAATGATGTTCATAGGAAAGACAGCTTTTTTTTTTCAAACTGCAAATGGACATACACTTACACCAACACATCGGTATGCATCTCATATCCAAAAGTCCCACCTGATGTTTGACTTGTGTGTGTGTTCTCCACTCTATGTGTACACATCCCCCAAAAAGACTTCAAAACAAGAAAAAAGGAAAAACATGCAACAAAAATACCTTCGTCTCGAGGCTTGTTCATTGAAGATTCATCATGTTTTTTTGTGAGCGGACCTAGGGTTAAGAAAAAAAGGGGGGAAAAAGAGAAAAGAGAAAATTCAAAAAAGATTACTGGCAAAAACGGGAAAAAAAAGAATATCAAAAAAAGAAAAGAAGAAAGAGCAAAAAGGACAAATCAGCAAGAGTTCATGGTTGCTTATTGTTTTTGTTTTTTTTCTGTTTTTTCCTTTTAAAAAGAGTACAAAAGCAAAAACAAAAGGCATCACAGACACAGTTTTATCACAAGAAAAGACACAAGATCAAAGAAAGCTGTTTTTCTTTCTCGCCCCCTGCAGAAGAAAATGGCTGCCTCTGTTTAGGTCCCCCTTTGTCTCTCTCATTTAACCTTGTTTGTTCCCTGAACCTTGTTTTCGGTTGTGAGGTTGGGAAAAAGGGGAATGTGGAGTACTAAGGCCTTTGTGGATTGAAGAACAGAACCCTGCCTTTTTTTCTCCCAACATATGACCAGAAAAACTTTGATTTTTGAAAAATGAACAGGCAAAGAAGCGGACACCTAAAGGAAGAACGGTGGGTCCTGATGCTCAAACCCCAAAATCTTAAATGCAGCGAAAACACAGAACACTTTAAAGGGCATTTAAACAACATGAATCATTTTGTACACAACACAGACACTTTTATTGACCCTGTAACGGTAAAAGACATGTTAAACACAATTCAAGATAAGTAGGGCACAGGTGCTTTTTGTTTTGAAGTGTGTGTGTGTGCATGTGTGTTTGTCATTTCCCCCAGGCGGGTAAATAATTACATAGCACAACAGCAGTGTGTCAATTTGAAATGACAAGTAAGCGTGACGCTAATTGCGCAGAGGAGTGCAGGTAAAAGGTGAATGTAATTTTATCCACATCTTCCCACTGGCTGTTTTTTTGTTTGTTGGTAATTTAAAAGAGTGGGATGGAGAAAGAGGGGAAGAAGGAGAGAAAGAGCACAGAGAGGGGAAATCAAGAGAGAAATATCCTGTTTTTCTCCCTCATCCATCTCTTTTCTTTTATTTGTTGATGATGACTCGCGTTACATTCAAGGAACCTGACTGTCACACTTCTCATGGGATTCATTATCAGGTAGTGAGGTTCTTAAGGAAAAAATACACCGTTGCCAGATGTCACAGTAAACCTTCTTCACCTCAGGAGCAATACAAAGGTGAAAAGTGTTTTCGGTAAAAGTACTTTTCACCTTTTTATTGCTTTCACCCACTTTGGGAAGTTTGGCACAGAATGTTATTCAGTTAAATCTGTGAAAATAAACACTTGTGTAACCCAACACTAAGTGACATTTTGGAACAGGTTACCACCTCGAAAGGGTGTTGTAAGGTGAATTACATCAATGTTATGACTTTGAATTTCATTTTTTGTGTTGGAAATGCTACATCCTTGAGAGAAAAATGACACAACAAAATGTTAGAGTAAGTCAGAGAATACACAATCAGGATACAATTGAAGACGTGAAGAAAACAACCCAGGTTTAAAGTTCTGGAAAAAAGCTAGAAAGCGACCATGAGGAAGGATTTGGTGTTTTCGATTAGGAATCATGAAAAGCAGGAACTTCCTTCAGATCGATCAGTGTTTTGACAATTTTCCGCAGAACCACCCTCTCCACTTATCAGATGAATAAGTGACTTAATGGTTTAACCAAATGCCTTGAGTAGAAAATGTATTATAACACATTGGTGAGGCTTTCCAATCCAGGATGTTTAACATTCTTGCCAAAATGGAGGAGGTTTTGGTAGCTGGTAGGCATACGGAACAACACTTTGTTTAGTGTGTTAGCATGCTAATTAGCATTGAACACAAAAAACGGCTGCGACAGATGGATATGTAATTGTTGTCAACCTGCTTGTGGCCCTATAGCAAAGTTATAGTCTGGGAACAATGAATGTTTGTTTGGGACTTTTTGAGTAAATGTGGAAATTGAATCAAATAAATGATACAATTGACATGATTGTGGCACTGGTGAAAAAATGGGCGGAAACATCAACGTCATGAGACGTTTTCTGTAGACCATGAATATCTGTCTGCACCTCATTTCACAGCATCAGATATATGAAATGTTTCAGTCTGTGGTAAAGTATTTGACCGATGACAGAGCGACATTGCAATCAACATTTAACAAAAAAATTGCATTTTGATAGAAAGCGTTTAAACAGAAAAGTAAAGTGTAAGACTTAAAGGTTGAGGTTTACAATATCTAGCAGTGACAACATGGAAGCTGAAACAAAGTATACATATTGTGAATTATTATCTCCTGAAAGCAAACATTGAAAATCTTAGAGGCTAAAGATTGAGACATGTATGGTATTTTTCAGTATTTCTTTGAATTTTACAGATATCTTTTCAGTCATTTATGCATTTACCACCTTATAATTAATCAGGAAAAACGGTGAGTAACTCTTGACCTTGCAAACAGGAGATGTTAAGCTCAAGGTCCACCTTCAAAACGTCTTGACCTAAGTTTTTCATTGTCATATCTACACTGTAGCTAATGTACAAATGACAATAAAGCCTTGAATCTTGAATCTTCTAGCTCTCTACAGATTGTTCAGTGTATAACTATAGGGACCATTTTTTATTGACTGAGGTCCAAACTTTTTACTTAAAAGTTTCTCAAGTGATAAAAAGGTCTAAATAGCAACCTTCTCATCAAAGAAACCAGAAATCACAACACTTTTTTTCGGGGGGAGGGGAAATTGGGAAAAGCAGAAATCAAGCCACCATTATGAGCCCGGCACCACGCTGAGAAAAAGAGTACAAACTGAGCATGATTGACGTCTTTTTTTCGCAATGAGTGGAGTAGAAGCCGAGCGGTGTAAATCAAGCAGAGCGAGAACAAAAATAGCTGCTTTTTCTGGACATTTCCAATCAAGGGGGCCACGGAAGATAAGAGAGTGTGCAATTGACCCCCCTCCACACACACACACCTGTCTGTAGATGATGACAAATAACAGCAAATACAGTTATAATACACACAGAGTAGACATTTCGGTACAAAAAGAGGTATAAAGCACCATATATTGTTGTTTTTAGCACCATATTTAGACTGTATGACGCATATAGTTTTCCATATGTTGTTACTAAACATGCATACGAGCTGCTTAAGAGTATCTTCCACCTTAAGTTGCTTACACCCTCTGTCCTCTACACACTCATTCTTTGATCCCCCTCTCTCTTATATAAGGCTTCACTTCGGCTCCTCTTCTCCCAACGGCCACACACACACATCCTCGTCCAGTGCTCATTCATGCAAAACAGTCATACAACACTGAATGAAATGCACCAGGGGGGAAGACGTATACACAAAGGGTCAGCAGAAAGAAATAATACGATACAGAGACTAAAGAGATCGATATTTGTGGTATGATGTGTGAATGCAGCTATTGAACCGTCAGCGGTGTCTGATCATCAAGGGCTAGACAGACAGGGTATATAGTGCCTATGTTCAGAACAGAGGGCGTTCCAGTTCACCTACATGGTGGAGAGAGAGCTTCTATGGAGTAATCACCAACAAAAAGCATCTTTCTGAATTGCTGCATTGGGCTACTATGAGACTACTTCCTTTTATTGAAATAGGTACTTTTGATTTATGTCTTTATTCTTCAAATGTATTATATTTTACAGTTATATATCTAAAGGGCCCACTTTTAAGTTTTACAATAGAAATATAAGTTTGTGATCTTTGACAATGGTATTTATAGCACTGATTTAAATGTTTTCTTTCATTATATTTTTTTATATTTTCCGTAACCTATATGTTTACATCCTTTTCCGGTACGTTTTTTTGTTATTATTTTGATTATTGACCGTATTTTTTAAGATAACTTTTATTAAAACTCTTAGAATTATTTTTGTTTTTCTTTACATGGTCACTTTTTAAATATACTGCTACTTGATATTTTACCATGGTGTAATTATCGTTTTTTTCCCGTAGTATTATAAACGTGTTACTGCCTTTTTATATAATATGTAAATCTACTCTTTCTACTTGAATCTGCACCGTACCTTTGCTGCTGTGATGCCGGAAATTCAACTTCCTGTGGGACAAATAAAACATTTGGGACTTTGATTTTGATAATTATTATTTTTTCTATGAAGAACTACTCTTATGTAAGGGAAGGCAGAAGAGCTCAGATTATTCCTTATTTATTTTTTGCATATATATTTTATATATAATCTCCTTTATAATATTAAAATAGTCTTTCAAAATCTCCTCAGCCTACCATATGCAATATATTGTTTAGGCTAAGATGTAGCAATGTAGCATTGCACAGAATACAGTATGCATATGTACTTTTTTGAAGCATCTAAGTCAGCATTTCACTGATATCATTTGGTACTGTGATTTAAGGCAGACAGTAGGCCTTTTGGAAAACAAAAGGCTTATTCCTTTGTGTTTATGGATACGAGCGTGTGTGCAGGCACAAGAGTAAGTAGGTGTTGAGTAGCTCATTTAAGCAATGTGTGCCAGTCCGGCATGATCTACGGGGAAATGGAAGTGTGTGTGACAGCTTGTGAGTGAGCGTGGACCATGAATGATGGGCGCTTGTACAAAGGACTGCGTGCGTGTGAGTGTGTGAGAGAAGCGATGGGGACATTGTCATTGTCCTAGGGCTAAAATACTGCAGCCGAAATGCAGCGAATAACTCAATAAGATTTGTGCCGAAGTGTGTGTACGGTAGAGTAGGCTGCGTATGAGTAACTGGGATAAGTGAGATGTGACTGAGTGTCGCTCACCCACACACACATTCTCAACTGCACGCTTTGTAAGTAGATGTTCTGGTGTGAGATACAGTACTTAAATGTACAGACAATCAAGCAGGCAGACTACACTGACTATCTTCTGCTTCACTAACACACACCACCAAACTGGTGGTGTGTGTGTGTGTGTGTGTGTATGTGTATGTGTATGTGTATGTGTGTGTGTGTGTGTGTGTGTGTGTGTGTGTGTGTGTGTGTGTGTGTGTGTGTGTGTGTGTGTGTGTGTGTGTGTGTGTGTGTGCAGGTTGA